CGAAACATAAAACATCAAATGTAAATTGAAAGTCGTTCGTGTGTGAAACTGAATGTGTCATCAGTTGAAGCGTTTATCATTTTTTACTGCTTTTCACATTTTCTTCTTGTTGTTCTTGTTGCTGTTGTTGCTTGGATTTTTCTTTTGCCTTTGCGCTTTAAGAAGTTTAGATTTTATTTGTCTGGCACATTGCTGGGTGTGTCAAGTTGCCTTTAAATGGCGTAAACATTTGGCTGCTGCGTTTGTTGACTGTAAGCGCGGAGAGACTGGAGGCCTTTCTGAGTTGTTTGCTGTTTGCAGTTCCTTCGTCCTTTGTGTATGCGTGTGTGTGTGTGTCTGTGTGTGTGGGTATGGAAGTGTGTGGCTGCAGGGGCGACTGTGCAATGTTTTGTGAAATCTTTTATTTCCGACTCAAAGACATGGCATTTCTTTGTGTTTGGCATTTGTGCGCACATGTAAATATGTTAAGCAAAATACTCCGAAAATACTCAGAACACAGAAACGCTTCAAATGAAGCTACTTATGTTACAATACAAGCAACAAGGGAAACTTCTCATTGACGTTCTTATACCAAAATACTAAGAAAACGCTATTAAAAATTCTTTATTTGCATATTTGGTAAGAATAAGGCCTCAAGGAAATCTAATGAGTCGTAAATGGAATAAGAAATTTAAAAACATAAGGATATGGAAACATAAAAACAACCATTTAACCAACAAATTATTTTGCAAAAATGCATTGTATTCCGATCGATGCCATAATGTTTTGTTTTTGAGGAAAATCTAATATGTTGTAGGTGCAATAAAAAAATTTAAATTCCTTTTAATCCAAACAAAACATTGATTTAAAACAAATGATAGGATAAGGAAACATAAAAACAACCATTTAGCCAACAAATTATCTTGCAAAATGGCAAATTCATTGCTAATCCGATTGATGCCATAATGTTTTGTTTTTGAGGAAATGAAACAAAAAATTCACAATTAATCAATCGATTTAAAACAAATGTAGGATAAGGAAACATAAAAACAACCATTTAACTAACATATTATTTTGCAAAAAATTCATTGCTAATCCGATTGAAGCCATAATGTTTTGATTTCTGGTGAAAATCGAATAAGTCGTAGATAGAATAAGAAATTTACAATCATTTTATTTCAAACAAATAACTGGTATATTAGGAATAGTAGAAATAGGAAACACAACAACATTTAATTAACCTCCAAAAAATGCCATGATGTGAAATTTCAAAGTAATTTTTGAATAGAATTGAACATGATTTCAATTACAGCCTCAAGACTCAACATCTCCGAAGTGATTGCTGAAATAACTTTCGCTAAACTACAACCGATAGAGATATTTCTGGCTATAACTGCAACATTTGGAAACTTACACAAGGAGTGAACTTTTTTCTGTTCAAGTCAGTCAAGTTTATTTGCATTAGAAACAATTTCAAAAGTAATTTACAAATCGAAGAAAATGAAACCAAAACCAAGAAACAGAAACTGCCTGCCACACAGTACGATGGCGAAAAAAGCTCGCAATTGGAGAAGTCAAAAAAAGATGGTACCCCACTTAAGATAATCTTATTGGTAAAATGCCAAAAACTTTTTGAGTGTTGCGGCGCCCCAAAGCATGCACACAATAAAAATGTCAACACACACACACACTCACATACACAGAGCGTCGACTAAAAAGAAGGTGGGTAGGAGTGTTCTCTTTTAAATCAAATACACAAAAATATTGCACTGCCGCCGCCTCTATATCCTCGGCTTTGTGCTCTTTTGGGTCCCACAAGTGCTACTTGCTGACCACTCTAGATACTACGAGTATATGTATGTAATGCGCCTCTTCATGGCACTTCATTTCGCTGTGCTCTTCAAGCATACTGGGACCGAGCCACTTGAGTGCGCGCCAAAAGATAAGCGCAATTATATGGCCTGAAGTGCGGCTGACCCGGACAGAGGGGCCACAGAATTGTATAAATTAGGTAAAAAGTAACTTATGTGACGTGTGCTTTGGCCTTCATTGAGATAAATGTGCCAAAACCGACTGGCCGGCCACGTTCTCATCACAGCCACGAGTAACAGGCCATATTGGCTTCCATTCTCTCTTTATGTTCTTTACTTGTAAGTGCACTCCTTGCTTTTGTTGTTGTGGTTGCTGTTGTTGTTGTTGTTGTTGTTTTAGGCATGTGAGTGTGCTGACCGAAAAGCCACTTTAAATTTATTGAAAAGGTAGACCCATCCGAAACACCAGGACTGAAGCCAGCCCCCAAAAAAGAAACAGAAACAGAATCCAAAGAATGACTGAAAAGTAATATAAGAAAATTCCACTGGCTGGCTGGACATGTCACATTTGTCTTGAAGTGCTCGTTATGGGCAATTTTTGGCAAACTGTTTGAGTTTTTCCTTTGTTTTCCGACCGCCACCCGCTGTGCGGTATTTGTTCACATAAGAGTGTGTGTCTGTGGTTTGATTCTTGGGGCAAAAGTCACTTAAACTTGAGAGCTTCTCAATTGGTTGTATAGCTTGACTTTTTGTCAAACAGTGTAGTTAACCGCAATGATAGCAAGTTTCAACTGTTGAGCAAAAAAATAAATGAAACTCGGCAAACGAAGTCTATAAACAAAGTTATATTTAAGACAAATACTATATATTAAAAATGAAATAACTTAAAACATAACTGAGCAACTCTTAATGTGATTCTCTAGCTCTGAAAACAGCATTAAAATATGTTCAATACAAACAAAAATTTTGTTCTTAATTTTTTTAATCTTTACTGCCGTAGATCTTTTAACGATGTAAACCAGTAGATCAGTGATAGCCTCATATGGGTACCGGAATATTGAAAAATTGTGGGGAAGGATCTACAGGGCACATTCCTTTATGACAGACATTATAATGACAGACTGCAGCTAGCCTCTTACAGATTTCTAACAAAGATAAAATGGTACAAATCTCTTCAGTTAAGGCTCAAGGTTCACCTGGCTAGCTCTGGACCTAAAAACAAACTACTACACTTCTAAAACTAAAATGAAAGGCAGTTTCCACAAAGGGTCAGTGACTAGAAAGCAGACACGCCTCTATTTACAGAAACTGTAGAGGCAAGAAGGAGTAGCAAAGCAGATAAAGCGACATTTCTTAAATAATCTTGGAACTACCGAAACTAGAGCTTGTGAAATTTGCCAAACTTATTTGTAAGACTGGAAAACCAATCCACCATGACTTCAGATCGCTGCAACCATTAAAACCGAGGCTAACCACTTAAAACAACTGAAAATTCATAATCAAACTTTTCTTTAAATTATGTGAATTATCTATGGATTATATCTCACCCAACATTCCAGATCTTGGATATTGGAAATAAATGTTTAACATTTAAATGATAACCAAAATCAAGTTCATTCTATTATTTGCAAAATTCATAACCAAACATTTTTTTAAATTATCTGAATTATATATGAATTATTATATCAACACCCCAAGGAGAGTGATCAGATCTTGAGTATTGGAAATAAATTCTTTACATTTAAATGGTAACCACGATAAAGTGTATTCTATTATTTGCAAAATACTTAAAGAATATATAATGGAATAGTTGTGGACAGTTTCCGGATGATAAAATAAATAAATGGGAAAAATGTAACCATATTTCCTTTATTTAAATGTACAAATGTACTGTTTAAATAAAAGATATTTAAACAACTCCCATTTTATATAATAGCATCGCATGTCTGTAGTTTATTTAAATAATTTATATTTAAACATAATCTGATAAATGCTCAACTTTAATTTCAATTTCTTTCTGATATAGTCATTCTTTTCGCGAGCATACACGACATATCTCTGCAATAATAAAGTTTTATTTGAGACTAGTACGTAACTCTGTTTCATTTGTACGATTCTATTTTCCGCATTTCTACATGGTCTGTTATATCCTTACTGCACAACTCTCTCCTCTTCTTGCATTCATTTACTTGCTGTATATTCATAAATAATTGAAGCTAGGTATATAGTACACATAGCAGGGCTACACAATATCCTCATTATATTTAAAAAAAAATGTAGTACCCAAATATCTGAAATTTTCTACCCAACATTCTACTCTACTGTATAAACGAAGCTCCCCATTCATACTATATAAATTTATATGTGTGTGTGTACATATTTGTATGTATTGGTGTGTGGCTTCTGAAAGCTTCAAGTGTGAACACACATTATAATAAACGCCTCAATTGTTGTGCAGTCATCTGTGTAATTTATGTTTAGCTAATGTTCAGGCATCGATGAGCTTGTCAGCTTTTGTGAATCACAGCCACCACACATACACACCCAGTGTCCTGCCCCAGCTGGGTATGTTTACGTGTGTGTGTGTGTGTGTGTGTGTGAGTATCTGTGTGTGTGTGCGCATGTGTGACATGAAGGCAAGCTACCAAATGGCGTTAAGGTTGCTTCGTTGAGTCTAATAGACTTTCATGTTTTACGTCCTGCAACGCACAGCTTTGCCCCACTTTTGAGTTTGGCTTTAGATATTTTTTTTTTCAAACGCCCAATCCTTTGGTGGAACGCTCTACCAAAAATGTTAGTGAAGGTTCCCTTTTTTCCTGCTCGTTGTTGTTGTTGTTGTTTTGTCGTGAACAATTTCAATGATTTCTTATTTTTGCTGGAGAGCGACGAAAATGCCAGTGGAGGGAGAAAAAAAAAAACTGTTGCACGGTTTGTTGTTAGAAAAAACACATATATTTTTTATGTGTCGGCCTGGCTCGTGTTAAGTCAGTGATGTGTGAAATTTTCGCTTGAAAAAGAGTAATACGAGTAGAACAAAAATGCTGCCCTCTGTAATCGATATTCAATATACTCGCACTCGTCTGTTGTACTATGTACTTGGGAAAATCTATTTTGTTGACTCAAGTAGCCCTTGGATGAAGCTTCCTTTAGCGGACATATCTGGGATTTTAAATTTCATTTCAGTTCTGTCTCTCGCACGATACACACACACACACTACTCAATCAAAATAGAAAACTAAGAAATTCTCCGTTCGTTTAGACTCGATCCTGCTTTCAGGCTCGCCTACGACTAAAGAACTGTGTGTTCGAACGCAGCTGTTTAGCCCGTGTGTAGCGACTGAGCCAGAGGATCAGTCCAAAGAACTTTTTCGTCCATTCTAACAGGTAAGGAGTGCTGCCGATGAAATCTTCGGATCTGTTTCCCTTATATTTTGAAATTTTGTGCAGTGCCTTCAGCTGTTCAAGATGACTTGTCCCTGCGGTGTCATTTCCTATAGGCTGACCTATGGCCCCGTTGGTCCAGCGCTGCCCGCCATGTCCTATTGTGGCTCTTGTCCCTGTGCGCCGTGCGGTCCTTGGACGTGTCCGCCCAACAATTGTAAATGCTGTTGCGAGAGCGGCTGCTTTGGACCGTACTACTAGTGCCGCATAGTGAGTGATAATGGCCGGAGGAGCCAAGAAGTTTGAAAAGACTGTCGTGTGCTGACAAAACAAGAGAGCGGAGAATTTTTTATCGGAATATGAAACCACATATCGTTCATAGTTCCATAGCAACTGAACTTTGTTGAATGTGTGTTCAACTCAATAAAATCAAATTCTGTGTGTAAATACAAGTATTGTGGACATTTCTTAGAGTTGCAGACGAAATCGAATCGCGATAACGCGTTTAGCTTTCGGCCAATATTGGTTATAGAAAATCAATCACGTAGATAATCGGCGATTATAAAAGGGCATTTTATATATATTTTTTTTAATTTAATGAACAGTGTTAAAAACTTTATTCGGAGTTGACCAATCACATTGAAATAGGGGCACAAAGATTTTAAAAGCCTGATATTTTGTAAGCAACATTCCAGGAGTTATAATAATAGCGAGGAGAAGGTAATGATTATAGAAAATGGAAGTATTATCTAAGATCCGGGGCTATGTCGACTTATCTTGCCTAACTGTTACGGGATACTTTAATATTTGTAATGTTTCTTCAATGCAGAATTATTTAATTATAAATTGATTTCAAAGTAATTCAAATCTTTTTTTCATTTTTCAGCTTACCAATTAACGTTTGTGAAAAAAGGGTGAGTCAATCTTAAAAATTATATTTAATCACAAATTATATATATATATACTTGTATATGCGTGTCTAAAATATAGTTCTTCTTAAAAATGGAGCGTTTTATAAAATGAGAAATGGTTGTATAAGGAAACTGCACAGATAGGTGGTCCTATGTCTGCTTTAAGTCCACTTAAAAATTATATAATCGTAAATTATATATATGCGTGTCTTAAATATAGTTTTTCTTACAAATTGAGTGTTTTATAAAATGAAAGATTGTTGATTAAGAAACCGAACAGATAGGTGGTCCTATGATTGCTTCAACTCAACTAAGAAGGATGGACAAGACACATTTCGGAACTAAAAACTATTCAAACTCATGTCCCCCTCACAACTCTTGGATAGCCTTAAGAATTCTACTTCAATGTTCCTCAAAAGAAGCACACATGTTGCTGAAAATTCTGTTTATTGTTGCTTTGAATTGGATTTATATCCTGACACTGAAATATTTTTAAATTGCTTGCTTCAGTAGCGCCTAGCTATGGGTCCGATGTTACATTAGAATTGCAGCACATCTTTCACCCTCTAAGCACATGCTGTTAAATAGTTCTTGCCACGCCCATCAGCTCTTTAGAATATCCTTCTCCACACATCCCTTCTTAAAGGTGGCCACATGGCACTTGTCGAAGGAGCCACACGGTGTGGGCGTGAAATTGCGTCCGGTGTACCTCAAGGTGGACAAGGGCGGATTATTGGCCGCCAACTTGTAGGAGATGCAGGCCCAGCCACCACACATTTTGACGTGATGTCGAAGATACCTAGGAAAGGACATGCACCTGCGATTAACCATTTAAGCTATAGTACTATAAAGCTTACCCAAAAATGCCAGGACGTAGCTTGTGTGTGAAATTTTTGTGAGTTGTTTTGAAACAGATCTGAACTATTTCGTGGATGTAGAAATTTTAATGCAAAAGCTGCTGGGTTTTGAGTTAGCGTTGATTATGGCGTGGTTTACCTTTTCGCCACTCGACTCCGGCAACTATGGCTTAACAGCACCCGCCACCGCAGCACCCGCCACCACAGCAACCGCCCCCGCAAGCCGAGCAGTTATCGCAGGGACCGCACGGGGTGGGCGCAAAGCAGCGTCCCGTATAGCGCAGTGTGGAGAGGCGGGGATTGCAAGCCGCAAGGTTATAAGAACAACAGGCCCAACCTCCACACATGTTGAACAACGTTAATTTACTTGTTGGCCTTGTTGCCGCCGTGTGGAGTGAATGGGTCTAATCGAAATATTGAAACAATACGAAATGAATCAAATGAATAGAATGTGTCTCAGTTTTTGAAATGAATCGTTGACATGCCTTTCAGCGCCGCCTAACTGGCCGGGGCAGCTGTTTCGTAAATCCTAGGGTACTTAGCGGACAGCATTTAAATCGCATTCAATTCTGTCTGCCACTAAAGTGAAATTAAGCCAACGAAGGACAGTGGAGCAAACGGGCTATATTCTTGCAAATATGCTTGAAATATCTGCGCCTTCAAACATCGTAAGATCTTCAATGAAAATAAGAAATAATATAAAATAAATATTTATTTAAAAAAAAATAAGGACTAGCGTATAAATAAATAAATCAACAAATAAATAAATACCTATATAAATAAACATTAATCATTTTTTAATTTTAATTTTATATAAATATATAATTGAAATTACTTGAAATAATAGCTGCTGCTATGCTTTTCCAAAGCTGATTGGTCTGATTGGAATAAAATAAAAGCGCTTAAAAAAAGAGAACATACTGCTAACTTTTGTCCTATTTCTAACCCTCCATATATCTTTTCCAATTATAATCTGGCGACGTTTTTAAATAAGGGACTGTAATCGTTCTAAGTGTTATTAAAAAAATTACAAAATAATGAATATTTTTTAATATTTATTCATTCACAAAAAATTTAGTAATTATTTTTGAGTGTTATTTTAAATATTACATTTGTAAAGTAACACTCACAACTAATTATAAAATTTTTAGTGAGTGAATAAATATTTAAAATATAAATCATGTTAAAAATGGATAGATAATCTTTAAAAAGGGATATCTGTAAAGACCCCGCTTTCTCAAAGTTACTATAAGCGAATGATTTTTTCGTTTAAAAATAACAAAATAATCATTATTTGCAGCCCCTGTTTTCAGCAGTCTACTTTGCTTTGTGGCCCATTGTGCGACTACAGGCATTGCATGCAAATGCCACAAAACGACCGACAACGTTAGACGATTTTTTTTCTCACTTACCCACCCGGACTCAGACAATCAATTACATTAGTCAGTGGCCGACCACTGTGGCCGCAGGCAGCACGCGTGGCTGGGCTGCCTTCCTACTATACATGGGGTTATGGTTTTGGGTTTATGTTCACCGTGGGCCAGCGGCCGGCGCCCGGCGGCTGACTGACTATCTTGGAAAAACCAAAAATGCGACCACAAGGCAAATACAATTTTAAATGAAATTTAATAGTTTGCATGTGGCTGCGCTGGCAGGAGCGGCAGGAGTGGCATGGCCTCCGGCGAGGACAGTTATTAAGCGGATTTTTTTGGGAGACTCCTCTCCTTTTAGGGCTTGACTTTGAAGTTGGCTTAAATTGTGCTGCAATAGATGTTCTCAGTTAGAGCTGCTGCTGATGACGATAATCGAATGGTGGGCTGCTTGAAATATATTTTTTGATTCAGTAACTCCTCATTTAATGTGGGGATCTACCGCTATAACAAACTGTCATGCTTAAAGCTTTTAGGCTTTACTTCTAGTTGACCATACCCTCTTCCCCCACTTGTGATGGCTCCTGCCTTGGCGTTTAACTGAAAGCCCCTAGACGCAGCTATCATTATAAGAGTAAAGAGAAAGCCGAAAACTAACAACTTTTTTTGACTACGAAATCAAAAATTCAAAAGTAGCTTCTGAATTTCTATGCCAAAAAAGGTGCTAAATAAGCACCGGGAAGCGAACGGGAGGGAATTGCTCTGATTTCCTGGTATATTTAGCACATTTTTTCGCTGGGAACTTTGCAAAAGAAACGGAACTGGAACTGTAACTGAAAACCGGAAACGAGCTCTGGAGCTGGAGCGACTGTCCCATCATGAGCTGTAGCAAGTCCAGCTGTCGGCCACGCTGTGGATCGGGCGGGCCGTGCGGTCCCTGTGGACCGTGTGGACCCTGTGGACCATGTGGATCGTGCGGTCCCTGTGGATCCTGTGGTCCATGTGGCCCGTGCGGGCCTTGTGGCAGTAGCTGCGGACCCTGTGGCAGCGGCTGCGGACCTTGTGGCAGTAGCTGCGGACCTTGTGGCGGTGGCTGCGGACCTTGTGGCGGTGGCTGCGGACCCTGCGGAGGTTGCCGATCGTGCAACTGCGGCCCCCCACCCTGCGCCGTCGTCTCCTATCGGCTAGTTAGCGGACCCGTGGGCCCTGTTCTGCCCTGCATGGAATATTGCGGCTGCTGCCAATCCACCTGTGCGCCACCCTTCTACTATGTTCCCAACAAGTGCCGCTGCTGCTGGGAATGGGGCTGCTTTGGACCCTTCTACTAATTGCCTAGGTGTGTGCGTGCATGGTTTGATGGTGGTGGTGGTGGTGGTGTGTCTGTGTTTCTCTGTCTGTCCGATGCTGCCGCCGCTCGTCATAAATTTTGATAAAACTTTTGATATTTTTGATTGCAATAAATTAGTAAGTCATGCAGTTGTTCCCTCTTTCTTCTTCTTTTCTCTCCATTTTCTCTCCCATTTTCCTCCCATTTTCCACACTGACAATGTAACAAATGGCAGCAAGTTTTCACAGTTGGCCAAATTTTCGCGCAGCTCCTGCGCTTCTCACAATGAAAATCATTTAACATTCGAACTTTTTGGCAATATACGCGTATATAGCGGCAAAAGTTTGGGTTATCATGGAGATGCAACAAAAAGATGGAAAAAAACACATTTGTTGCAAAAACAATACAAAGCACGGAATTCGAAATTGCTTGTTTTGGTTTTCCACAAAAACAAAAACAAAAAAACATCAAACCAAACAAAACGCAGCAAATCACAAAAAACATGTCAGTCCTTTTTTTCGGCTTTTCTGGTTTGGTTTTTTGTTTCTAGAGGAATAAAATATATGTGCTTGTTGAACAATGAACGCTTTTTATTGGGCAGGAATCTGGGTCATGGATTCGGTTCGTTTTTGTGCGCATTTTTCTAAATCTGCCGGCAAACTATTGAAAACAGAAAGGTCAGCTGTAATTGCAGCCAACTATCGAATACTTGGACCGAAATGCAAGAACTTGTTGTTAAACAAATTCCTAAAAGTTGTCAAAAGCATGTGATTTAGAAATGGAAGTAACTTTGTGACCACAATAAAAACAACTACGAATGCTGAAAATAAGTTTATAAGCAACAAAAATATTGCGTTTGTTTTAAATAATCTCAGCATTAAATATGTACGTGCTTTATATTATTTAATCAGTTGACAAAAGCCGGCATAAAATAAATAAATAAATAAAGAATAAATAAAATGTGATCTACCTTCTTTTGAAAATCGTTTCAACTGTATGGCCCAGAAATTGTTTTCAGTTTAAGATCGCCGTTACGTTCTTCTTTTGAAAATTGTATTAGCTAGGCCAAGAAATTATTTTCAGCTTAAAGTTGTCAGTCTTGTATTTAAAGTAAAAAGCTGTGGGAGCAGAGGAATTTTTATATACATTGTCAATGCTAGGGCGATTAATATTAATACTATGCAAAAAAATTGTGCATATTAAGCCGAATACCATTATTCGCATTTGTATGTTTTCCCCGTAATTGGGGCAATCAGTATATTATTATCTATATTTTTCCCACATTTTTTATTTGTCACATGATTCGTCATTCATTAGAACCAGGTGAAAGGGAAACTTTCGGTTCATTGCCGATGATTTATGCTATGTTGGCAATTTATTTATTGGGGTTTCGTTTTATGAACAAATCATAAACCTGTATTTACAGTTGGAATAGATGTAGGTACAAGAGATATTTACATCAGCGACTGTAAACATTACTGGTATTAAAATTTGCAGATTATTCTGGAAAAATCTTTAATTGTGAGTCTGCTTGTGATAAAGAACAATTCAAAGCTATTATATCCGGTTAAAGAAAAACAAATCCTTAAGCACACCTGCTTTGCCAAATATATTATATGTAATATGCATTACTTTTTTTTAATCAATTATTATTCAATTAATATATAATATGAATATTTTATATAAAACTGAACTTTATTTTGTTATTCGGCTTAGATTTCTTATATCATCGCTTAAAAATATTTGCAAAATATAACAACTATTCCAAATTCTACTTAAAGTTTTGTTATTATAAACGGATTGCAAAAACTCAAAGCTTAACAGATTGGCATGCACTTCGCACTTGAAAAAACAATTAAATTTCTTATATGTACATCCAAGCATAACTTTTCACATTTGTGACGGATTATTTTTTGTTCCCTTTCGCCTTGTCAGGCAAATAAAATTAAGGTTTTGGAATGCATTTCTGTGCGGCGAATATACCTTTTGTATCGTGACTTTATATTTGTTGTCTAGGCCTTGCCAGCCTTCAAGAAAACCAATTTATGTTAAATACACAGGCTGTACTCTATAATTGTGTAGTTTGATTTTATTTTATTGTATTCACGCATAATGCATGTTGTCTGCCGGCAATTTTCCGTGCTTACAGCTATCGAGCCATTTTTTGTGGAAACCATTGTGGGAATGTGCTTCCGAAATGGCTTTCAAAACTTTTGGGCCCGGGTTTTTTTTCAGGGTGTATGTATTCACAGATACTGTAAATGGTTGTCATAGAGTTGCAGCTTCTTAACTAGAGCCTCTTCCTCTTACCTATATGTTCTTTGCCGTAATCGTAACAGTTGTACTGCACCACATAGGTCTTGTTGTCGGTGGAGAGTACGGTTTGAACATTTCCCGGAAGTAACTCCGTAGGATAATCGTAGCGCATGCATATATCAACCATAAGTGGCTGGTTCTCTACCCAGTTGAAAATGTTCCACATCCTGCCCTGCAGTGAGGTCTACACAGAGGTTTAGTATCGACAGTTTTTCAAGCTCTAAAACCTACCGTAGCGTGCCGAACTTTGGGACATCCTCCAGGCGATGGATGCGGAAACTCAAGCGGATTCGTTGGTTTAAAAGTACAGATCAGAAATGCTGCTAAAAGACTGCTTCCCCAATTAATATTTTATGTGGTATTTGGAATTCAAAACTGATGCGAACAACTTACAAATGCACTCGTAGCCCAAACATGCTGATTGAATCGAATGGAAAAGCAACGTATTGCGCCTTTTTGTCACAGTAGAGTGAGAAGTTATGTAAAGTGTTGTGCAAAACTGATAATCACATTCGCTCTATAGTACGACTTGGATACAATATACCATCAATATTGTAATTGTTGTTAATACTTTTAAAAGAAAAGGTCACGCTCGTTACTAAGAATTTATTGATGATGGAAGTAAAATAAAATCAACTTCTTGTAACTTTTTATATAAACTGCTATAAAGATGTTCTTTATTAATATGTATTACTTTTCAGATTAATTGATTACTTCTTATATAATTTTTAACTGTCTTTATAGCGACGACTGATTAGGTTACAAAGACTTTAATGCAGTAATGCAGTCTGCTTTGAAATTGTTGAATTTTTCACTTTTTTCAAAAAGATTAAAGATGGAAACCAAATAAAGTTGAACCTCAACTTTTGGGAACTTCATATAAATTGCCATAAAGATGTTCTTTAGTATTCAGAACTCTTTTTTACAATTGTTGACTACTTCTTATATGAGTCGAAATTGCCTTTACAGCACCGATTGTTTTAAAGATTTATAAAGACTGTATCACTATTGAATTGTTCACTTTCTTCAAAGCGCTTGTCACTCATTTAATAACTATTTAGACTGTATGTTGCCAAACGTTTTATTCCACTATAATTCCAATTGACTGTAGAAAAGTAATAATGAAAGGGATTGCTTTAAGAATAGCTGCTCTGCTCATTTCGATGCTGCGTATTGTTAAGATATGAGCTCCGACTTGCTTTTGAGAACGTTTATTACGCTCATACTTATTTCAAGAGCCTGCGGTATCTATTCTTGCAACGAATGCTTTTGCTTTCAATTGCTACAGCCAGAGGCAGACACTGGCACTGGCACTGGCTCTGCCACTGATTGCCACAATTATTCGACAAATCGGGCGCAATTTTATTACAACAACGATGTCTGTGTCGCATTGCAAGCTGGCGACAGTTGCCTGCCCAAAGTTTTTCCCACAAAAACCGCCTGTGAGACGGCCTGTGCCCGTTTCTTCGTCCTTGTGGAGGAATGGGCCACGTTGCCCATGATTGATTGAATTGCTGCGATGCACGCTACTTAGGCGGCAGTAAATAAAGCCAATAGGCCAAGCAATTTTACTTATAGCTGTTATATTTGCAATAAATGAACTTTTTACAAATTTCATTTCAAAACATTTATTTAAAAACATATCGCTTGAAACTTTTGAGCTTAAAATGCAATTTTTAAATCGGGCACTCATAGCTGTTTTGAACATTGTATGTTTTCAAAAACAAGCATTATGAAGCAAACTATAATTCTATTATTTTTATAAATCTTTAATCTTTATTTAAAATCTATCATGAGTTGGACAGTTATTAATTTTGATGATAGCTTTGAAATTTCAATTATGCTTCTGTCATGTTGGCTGTGATGTCATTCGAATCGAAACAGCAATTTTGCTATATACTTGTTTTTGTAGAAGGAAATAGATTTTAAATATTTTTTAGTATAACTATTCATACTTTTGCGATCCTTTAGATTCAATTTTTGAAATTACTTTGCATTTGTGTTTTATGTATGTATGTACTCTCTGGAAATTCAAACGCATAAGTTTGTTTTTCTCACTGATGTAAGATTTCTAACTAAATTCCTTAATTTCTTATGCTTTGTCCTGTGTCCTGAACATTGAAATCCAAACCAACTTTTGTTTGCTACTTATTTCCACAGTAGTTACTATATTTGGGGATTATTTTTAAGTTGCCGCAAAATCTAACGTTTGGTTGTTGCAGACAATTTTGCTTTCGCACCTTTTCTGCTTTTCGTCATTTTTATATTTATTTAATTTTGCTTGAATTGTTCTTCAAGGATTTTTGAACTTTTTCGGCCATGTCCCTTTGCGTTAAACCTTCCAAATGGTAATTAATAATTCATTTTCGCCAGCCTGAACGGATACGACGCTTTTTGCCACTCATTTTTCTAGAAGCTGTCAAAAAAGTGATCACAACTCTGCAAATTTATTTCGAGATGGGTCATTTTGTATAACCTAACCGTAAGGAAAAAACAAAACCAACTCTAGCCAAGAGCAATGTGGACCGTCAAATTTGACATTGCTTCATTGTATGAATTTATTTTGGGTCTGAAAGGTGTACTCTCTGAGACAATTTGCAAAGTAATTGCAAAGATTAAACATATAGGATAACAGAAGTATTTACATTCTTTTAATTGTCTATATGGTAGAATACTTTTTAAAGCAAAACAGCCTTTCATTGAAGGTGGTGATTTAAATTGTTTACCTTCTTATTTTTATTTTTTCATAACAACAGAAATTTGTTGAATCTTTGACAAACCTCACAAGATTCTAAAAATGCCATCCATTTTGTTTTCATTGATTAACAATGATAAGTAAACAATAAAAATGTTCAGTGCTAGAGTTCTTGCTGGGTTTGAGCACAGATCGAGTTAGTTGGGGAGCACTTTCTACAATCACTATTTACTTAACTTTGCTTTATTAAAATTAGATACAAGGTATTACTATCAAAAAACAGAACACAGAAGAATTAAAAAAATTTACATGGCAGCTCAATTAGGTTAACTAATAGCATTTGTTCTCTCTAGAATATTAATTTTCTTTATATTGTCTAAGTTTGAAGTTTATCCAAACATTAGGATATTTTGTAAACTTTTGCTTAAATCAGTTAAATTAAAATGATATTATTTATAATTGTATTATCCAATACACTCTGTTTAACAATCTGCGGAAACCATAGAAGCAACTGTTGCATTATTTTTTCACAAATGTTGTAGGCTTTAAGACATTATTTCTACTGCGTTTTGGGGGGCGGAATGAAATCTGAAAGTAATCGCTTTGCTGGCGAGTCCTGTCACAAAGAACTAGCTGTGAATTCACATTTTTATACGACAGCAACGACAGCGCCTAAGGACTACAGCAATTTTCTAAAGCCCGGCAAACCAAGTGCCACTCACCTTTGGGGCATCACAAAATGCGATTGTTATGAGCAGCAGTTCTTGTTGTTGTTCTCGTTGTTGTGCTTATTATATGTCTGTGCTATACATTTACAAATTTTACACTTGAAACACACTCACAGATACACACACATACACTCCAATAAACACATAGAAGGTGGAACAACAACAACAACATCTAAGTTAAAACCAGTACTGAGTCCCGGAGCAATATGTAAGCGAATAGTGGGCGAGTCAGAGCAGTGGTCGGAGTTCGGGGCACTGAACCGAACGCGTTTGACCCACGCCCCCAACTACGTGAGTTCCTTGGGTTAGGGGACACAGTATTGTTTTTCCGCTTTCCTTCTTGATTTGTTTGTTTCTTTCACTACTTTTGTTGTTGTTGCTGTTATTGTTGTTGTTAATCTTTAAGCTCTTTAGCAAATGTTGGGCAAAGAACTGTAAGGTGTTGTGTGTTTTCTCATTCACTGCAGTGTTGAGTTTTCTATTAAAATATGAATTCAGCGGCGTTTCGTACACTTTATGCTGTTGTTGTTGTTTTTGTTGTTTGTGCTTGGCAATCGTATTGCTAATTAATTTGCTGTTGTGTGTTTGTTATTAAAGAGCCGCCGTCGTCTAATTTATTTATGCAGAAGCACCCACGAGCGTCACTCCACGAAATTGCAAGCCAACGCCATCAACATTGTCAACGTTGGGGCAGCTGTTCTAGCTGTTGTTGTTGTTGTTATTATTATTCTCGTAGTCGTTTACAGTTGTTGCCGTTATTGTGGAACTTTCGTCGTCGCCGTCGTCGCCGCAGCCGTCGTCGTTACCGCACATTGAACAGAGCGAACCAAACGTTTTGACATTATCAACGTAACTGAAGCAGCAGCAGCAGCAGCAGGAAGCTGTCGGCTTTTGATGCCTGGCTGCTGGATGCCGATACCAATGCCGACGCGGCGCTTCGTGCAGCTTTTACGGTTGTTGGGAGCGCGTCGCTCTCTCACTTACACACACGAATCCCCGAACGTTTCGCAACTTAACGAAGGCGCACTTCGTAGTCGCCGTTGTTATCGCATTGGGACATTTTTACTGCGACCGACCACAAGTGAGAGAGCAGCAAGCCAGTTTGAAAAACAGCTGATTGACACGAAGCATTAAAAATGTCCTCAGAGCTAGGGAGTGATGATGTAACAAGAGAAAAGCTTTCTAGTTTCGAAAATACGATTTTTGAAGGGATATTTTAGCAACAGTGCTCTGCCAACATTAACAGTTTACTTAACAGAAAACTAAGAGTTAACATAAAATTTATAAGCTGCTGGCCACATCTAGTTAGTTACACCCACTTAAGATTTAGGAGAAAATACCTAACAGCCCAGTAACTGATACCACAAATGTCGCCAAGATAGCATTTTCCTCCAACCGGAATAAGTAGCATTGAAGTATTTAACAGTATTTATTTTAAAAATTGCTGCGCGTCTCTTAATTTTTTTTTAAATATAGAATATAATTTGAAGTTTATGATTACTTTTTAAATATGCATGCACATATGTACAAGTATGAAGCCGCTGGCAAAAAGTATGTCAAGAAATCGTAAGATCTGTAAGATTTAAGGCTAAGAATACCGCCATTTTTACTGTCTGTGGGGAGGACATTCTTTTTTGAATGCACGTTCTTTTGAAACGCGATGTTTTTATTTTTACCCAGTATAAGGTCCTTAAGTCAGATTTTAAAAGAAAAAATGCATTCGTGGTATTATAAGAATTCTTTTATTTACCATGCCAAAACCCAATTTGTTTTGTTTGAAATTTAATCCAAATCGGTGCATAATATCAAAAACTTGTAGTTGATGCCATTTACATTAGTTAGTACAACGAAGTTTGTTTTACTTTACAGACTGTGGAGTGGCGGATAATTTCACGTTTTATTGTTTGGTTGAACTTTGTACTGCATAGACAAAACACCGATGAAAACTAATATATTTCGATCCATTTTTTTTTTAAATG